GGTGGTTCGCCTCTCCAGGGCTGACTCCTCTGCCGGAAATGCAGGCAGCAGCCATGTGGCCTGCTTTGCCACACTTGATGCAGCAACCGCTTTTGTCCACCAGGCTCTTACACCTGATGGCGATGTGCCCAAGTTCCAGGGATCTAAAGCAGCGAGGGGGGCCCTCGCGTTCTCGGACTCTACACCGGGTCAATCCTATGCGGACCTCGCCTCGCCGCCTAACCTCCGACGCCAAAGAGCTAGGCAGGCTGAGGACCGCCGTTTTAGTTTTCCTATACCCGGGGCGGAGGCTTCGGATCCTCACTGCAGCTTCACTCAGCTGGTATTGGTCTGAGAAGGCTGTGCGGATCTCGCTCTCTGTCGTGATCGCGTCGAGGTTACGAATCTCGAATACGCAGACCTTCGACTCCTCCGTCAGCGCTCGCACTTCGGCCGCGTCGCCAAAAACCTGAGAGATGCTGTCCCTCATGGACTCAGCACTCTCGTGACTCCCTCTGGCTACCTCCAGGAGCAAGATGCCCCTGGCCGTCCTACGCACCTTGCTGACTGACCCTCCGAGGTTGGTCAGCTTGCTGTCCTCCCTTCTGGTGACCAGCGCCAGGATCTTGTTGTAGCTTTTTCCCGGTGCCTCTACTATCACCGTGTCGTGGCGAGCTTTGCGGGTCTGCTTCTTCCTTCTGACCACGGTGCTCCACGAGTCCCCGCCGATCGCTGGCACGGGATCTGATGATCTTGTTGGTCCTGCCGCGTTCCGTATCCCGTGCTCTGTAGCCCGAGACTTTGCTAGGGGAGCTCGTTGGGCATTCCGGGTACCCCTCGCCGTAGCTGCAGGGGCTGTAGCCTGGACTTGTGGGGCTGGCTGAACCTTCGCCACGCTCCGTTTGGACTGCCCGGTCCTTCCTCCCTGCGGCAGCCGTTTGCTGGGCCTTGCTTACGCCAGGCTTGCCGCCAAGCGCGGTCTGAGAGCACTTGGCGCAGACGCTCTCCCGAGCGTACGAGCCCAGGGAGCGCTCCTCAGGTCCTTCGGCCGCCAGCTCTATGAAAGATTTTAGCTTCCGCATCTCGTCAATCATCGACTTCATGGCGATATTGATGTGGCGAACCTGCTTCTCGTGGACAAGGCTATGAAGCTCGTCCAGCAGCTTTCCGAGCCTGCAAGCGCTCTCTGTGCGCGTAAGTACCCGCTCCTTGTCCTCCTCGGTGTTGGATGGGGGCACGTCGGGGGCTCCTTTGGGGAAGCGTGCCCCTGGGACCGTTCACAGGGCTGGCCGGGTCCCTGCCTCTCTTGGCCGAGTCCGCGGGATCGCCGGTTTTACTCCTCGCCGGCGCCGGGGACGGGGTGGGGCTCGGGCCATCAAGCTGCTCTTCCTGAATGCAGCAGGATCCCCCTTGCCCATTACCGTCTCCTGGCTTGGTGCAGTACCTACCGAGGCGGCCAAGTCAGCCACCGCCTCGACGGGGTGTGTTGGAGTGTTGGGTAGGGCCTCCAGAATCCTTGCCCTAGCCGTGGGTTTCCCCACGGGTGGAGTATTTATGTTATATTCCGACATTCCAATAAAGGGTGCATTGTCGCCCAATGCAAGGCTGCATTTTATACCTTCTGCCAGGTTCTTTGGTTGCCGGCCACTATGGCACAGGCGCAGACCAGGTAGTCGCCCACTGTGGGTCAGACGCCTCCTGGGTTTGGAACTTATGTGCAGCTTACGCCTGCTGCCAGGCATGTTCCACCGCCGGCCACTATGGCACCGACACGGTTCACGCAGCCGCCCATTTTGGGACCGACGCTGCGAGGGGGTTGGGTAGGACAGACAAAACGGCCAGTGCACTTTAGGGGTCCCACGTTGGCCAGGAGTTTCCCCGTGACTGAACAGGTGGGAGTTATACCGCTCCTGCTCGGTCGCCAGAGCCCCGTTTGGAATGGTGAGCCGCGTAGCTGTGGGGATGGCAGTTGGTCAGATCCTTGACCTTTACCACCCTCAGGCCTCCCAGTGCAACTTAGGGCTCGGGTTTCACCCACTTCCCCTTACCTCTTTCCAAGGATCAAGGGCAGCAGCCCAAAAATGTATGCTACCTCCAGCATATGCAGAGCAGACGCGGGTGTTTCAACATGGAGCTTCTACAGCGTGAGAAAGGATTTAAGCAAGGGCGTGACAGCGCCACCTGCCGCTCGAGTAGCCCGACGCCACCAAAAGCAGCGGGGGTGCTGCCAGACCGGGTAGGTTTCTGACACCCCTTAACACTAGACGCAGCTGATCTCGCCAACAGCTGACGTGAATTAACAAAAAACTGCGGGGGCAGCCCCGTTTACTTCGGGAGAGGTAACTCGAGAAAGCAACAGAAGCAACAAAAAAAAACGTCGGAGGAAATGCTCTCACCACTCTCTCCGTCGACTCGGATCATTGGATTCCGAGGTTGGGTTTTCCGGATCCTCCGCGGACGCCTGGGACCCGACTCTGCACGTGAGTAACGCCGCCAGCTTCACGCAGCCTGGCGGCGCCTCGTTGCGCAGGGGACACTGCCGCAGCCCACGCACCACACACAATTTGCGGGAGCACCACCGCAGTGCAACAGTACTCGCGACTTGCACAACTTCAACTCCAACGTCGTCTGATATATGTGTGATTGTATATATGTATATTTTAGTATGTCTTTTGCGTTAAGATTTTCAATAGTTATAAGTAGTTGTTGTGTTGCGTTTTTTTTTGCGTTGGTGGTCGGGTAACCAAATTAGTTTAAATTTATTACTATTTTTTTGTAGAAGGTTGCGACCTTGTGAGGATCGCTGTTGTTTATGATTTTTATTTCGTCGATGTCAGAGAGGAAGTCTGAGCATATGCAGAATTTAACTTTTTTTTAATATTTCTAGTCCCTCTACTATTGCTAGTAGCTCAGCACAGAACACTAAGGAGAAGAGTGGTAGGGACCATAATTTTATGCATTCTGTTTTATTTGTGATTGCGAGACTCGTATTTGTGTTTGCTTGAGATCCATTTGTATAAATGTAGAAAAAGTTTTGAACGTCTTGTAAATTTCTTTCTTTCTGTAATTTGGGTCCGGAATATTTGTGGTTTTTGTAATTTTTTTGTTGTGGTTGCTTATCATTGCGTGGTATGTGGCACGTTGGTAACTTGTTTAAGGGGCAGTTGGGGGACTTTGGAGTTTTCTATTATGCGGTCTATTGTTGATTTATATTTTGGACTCTATGGTGGTCGGTATGATTTTATTATTTTGATTTTTGGAGAGTTTGCGACGTAAATCAGAGCTTATTGTTGCTTTTACTCCTTGTTTGGGAAAAATGTCCGTAAAGGGGATGTCCGGAAGGCCGTAGTCTGCTTTTGCGGTGATAATTGATTTTGTGACGTTTAAAAGTGTAAATGTGTTGCAGTTAAATTTTTGGCTTGAGTTTTAAATTTCAAAAAAAAAAAATTACGATTTTCTTGTGATTTAATTGCTTGAGGGTCGTTTTTCTTTCATCCTTTTTACACCCTTGCAGCGTATTACAATTTTAGTCAGAAGTTTGCAACGCAGTGAAGGGGTCACCTCCGACCATATAACGTATATATATTCTTGATCGGCATCAACAGCCGAGTCGATCTCGCCATGTCCGTCTGTTCGTTTCTACGTAGACTAGTTTCTCAGTTTTTAAAATATCTGAACGAAACTTTGCAGTTAGTCGTCTATAAACTTTTATTAGCATATACGAGGCGGATTGGATGACTCTATCATAAAGCTGCCATTAGAACGATCGCAATATTTTTACAAAAAAAATTATAACTTTTTCAGTTTTTACTAGATTTTTATAAGATATAACCATTTTATAATATTCTACAAATTTGGTTTAAAATTTTTTAAAAATTTGACTGCTATATAATATTATAATATTTTAATAATCTAATACAATCAAAAATTATAACTTTTTCAGTTTTCAACCGATTTTCATCAAATTTGAGATGAATCCCTTTAAACTTGCTCTATAATTTAGGTTTTAATTTTTTGAAAATCGGACAGTTATAACATATAGAGGAAAAACGCAAATATGTGAATGTAAAACTGTAAATATAATGTGTATAGGTGAATGAAATGATAGCAGGATTTACTTCATTGTTTGTTAACATAAATATGTAACATTTATATTGTATTACTTCTAGTGATCAAATTTCAATCTGCAAGGGTATACAAACTTCGGCGTGTCGAAGTTAGCTTCCTTTCTTGTTATATATATAGTATACTGTACAGCAAGAAAGGAATTCAGTACTTTTAAGTACACTTTACTTTTGTATAGATCTGTGGAGCTAGAGGCTTACTTCCCCCCTTATAAGACATGAAAACCTGCTTTAGTTATAAATTTTGGGTTGAAAAATTATTATTGAATAATTCGGGCGATGTGGCCGCTGAAACCCATCTGGCCAAAGCTTTGGTGTGCTGGTCTTGCGATTATTGGGTTAGACTGTCCCCAGCTCTTCTGTCTTTAAAAGCGCACATCCGTTTATAATGCGATTTTACGAATCCCTTCTATTGATTATCTGGAAGTAGCGAACTGCTCTGATGGAGTTTGTCTCAATTGGAAAGCCAATTAAAATTTTCCAGGTTAACTTTAAAGCATTGGACCCAAAAGAAACAAAAAGCGTAATGGAAGTCTTGTAAGGAGACCTTTCACGAATTGTCATATCGGTATAAAACGGACTCGAAGGGTACTTACAACAATATTATGATATAGAAGCGATATCATGTCACACCTAAACTCCGGCCATCCATCGAGCTGTTGCGAAAGTTAAATTAAATTCAGTCTGTTATATTTTTATATATATATTTTTTTCTATACTGCTGTTTTTACACTTTCTTGTAAAGTAGAACAAATGAAGACCCTTAGCAGATTCATGTGTAACAAAAATACATAGTAACGGACAGACGGACAAATTCTGTCAAGCAAAGAATATTTTATTACAAATGAGAGACGAGTATTAAAACCACTTACTATTCTTATTTTATTTTTATTGCAGATTTGTGCTCTTGACTGAAATGCAAAATGGTTGTGATCACGAAAGATTAAAAAATATGTATAAGTGAAATTAAAACATTTACTTGTTACTATTTATACAAACATAATGAGTCGTACTGAGCCTATTACTTACATTAATATCGCAAAGATGCACCTAATAATATAGAAAAAAGGATGTTTTTATCAATCAACTATTGAACGCCAAATGTTATGTTTTAATTGAGGGCACGGATCATGAATGAAAGTAAAGAGATTATCGATATGTCAACAGATTCTGTGTCAAATATATCAGACAAATTTGATAAATGCTTAAATTTGGATAACGAGTTCTTAAACAAATTACCTGGCGACATTTCGGGTTCACCCCTTCAAAAAAATGTTGTATCAAATCATCAATCGATTGAGGGTCGTCCAATCTATCCGAATGTTCCGTATAGCCCATATGGTAGCCCTTTTGGAAGCCCTAGTTCTAGTCGACGCCGACCTGCTTTTCGAGAGTCTCGAAGGATTTCAATTGAAAAATCTGGAAGTTTCCTTCAATTGAATCAATACAAATTAATGGATCAAATTGGTCAGGTAATAGTGTTGATTTTGTCTTATTCAACTATAGCAACTAGAAATAAAACAAAGAAAAAGTAAGCTAACTTTGGCACGCCGAAGTTTATATGCCCTTGCAGATAGAACTGCAATGACTAGGAATCCATACAATATAAATTATATTTATATATGTTAAAAAACAATAAAGTAATACCTGCCTTTTTTTTATTCACCTATACATATTATATTTGCAGTTTTAAATTTACAGATTTGCATTTTTGCTCCACATCTAACGATCGTTTGTATGGCACCTATATGATGAAGTCGTCCGATTTTCATAAAATTTGACACAAAATTTAAGACTGATATAAAATAGCTTATCTCAAATTTGATAAAAATCTGCTGAAAATTGAAAATGTTATAATTTTTAATTGTATTAATTTCTCGATTGTTCCTATGGGAGCTATATGATATAGTAGTCCGATTTTCATAATATTTTACACAAAATTGTAGAATAATATGAAATGGCTGTATCTCAAATTTAAAATTCTTTTGAAAACTGAAAATGTTATAATTTTTTTGTAAATATTTTCCGATCATTCCTATGGCAGTTATATGATATAGGCGTCCGATCCGACATATATATGAGTGAGAGTATATAGAAGACTAACTACAATGTTTTATTAATATAGCTTCAAAACTGAGAGACTAGTTTGCGTAGAAACGGACAGACGTACATTGTTGATGATTCATTGATTAATTGTTTGTGAACTATTGTTAATGACAGCCTAGGACATGCCCATGTTAAATTCATCAACAGTTTGTATGGCCATTTATCGATGAATCATCAACAGCACCGCCTTGACTGTTGATGAATCGTTGATTAATTACTGATGACTGGTACTGCAGGGTGTTTACAGTTTTCATTTAATTAATTCGAAATATAAATATATATATATATATAGATATATATAATATTAAAAATATTTTGAAAAACAATAAAGTTTATTAAAACAAAATGTGTAATTTTTAATTTTAATTTTCCGATCGCTTCTATCTATGGCGGCTATATGTCGTCTAATCCGGTCAATTTTTGCTTATATACGAGTGAAAAGAAGTCTTCTAAGTTTTAATATAGGTTTGAAACGCTTTGAAAACTTCGGCCTATGTTATAATACCCCTTCAGTACCAAAATTCCCTTCCTGTCCGATTCCTGGTGTTCTAAAAACAAAAACAAATCTTATGGGTTTCGGAAACAGAACTCCTAAACAAAGTAGGCAATGAAAATTCTACCTATGTTCGGATACTGAAAAACAATTAATTGTTGTTTTTGAAGCAGTGTGAATCGTAGTGGAATTTAGAGTAGAATCAGATAGGAATCCCAGAGGAAAACGTGTAGAAGATCCGCGGAACCCCCCGCCCCATAGTAAATATCTGACGCAATTTATAATACATAATTTTAATTTATTTATTCATTTAAAAAACTTTATAATTTGTTCAATGAATACCACATTTTTCTTAGCATACCTTCTTGCATTTCCCCTAAACGTATGTTAGGGATCCATTTCTTCCGGCTGTTGCCTCGTCAACCTATAATTAAAATACATATGTAAATACATATGGATATTAGAATCAAATGGACAATATTTTCTATAAATATACATACTAATTAAGAAAAAAACAATTACTGGATATATAATCTCCTTCCGTTCACACCGTCTAGGTTAAAAAAGTGTCCAGGTTCAAAAGCAATTCTGTAAATGAAATTATTAACTGAATACAAATAAGTCACTTACCCTTTAACAATATTGAATAAATTACATTGCAAAACACTAGTGAATACTTCAGCTGTCATTAGAGCTGTGAAAAAATCGATTTCACTAACGAGACTATCTATTCTTTTTTTTTCGTTAAATTATATTTTTTATCATCTCAATCTAATTTCGGAACCACTGCTCCGAATCCCTTCAAAAACAACAATTAATTGTTTGGCAGTATCCAAACACAGGTAGAATTTTCATTGCCTACTTTGTTTCGGAGTTCTCTTACCGAAACCCATGAGATTTGTTTATGTTTTTAAAATATGACACCAGGAATCGGACAGGAAAGGAATTTTGGTACTGAAGGGTTAGGTCAGGTGTAGATTTAAAGAATTGCGAAAAGTTTCATCGGCATGGAAAATTTGCAAGGAATTGTGATTCCAAAGGTTTGTCTTACAAACAAAATGCAAAAAGCAAAAGCAAGCAAAAAAGGCAAGCAGATTGCAATAAATAATTTATACAATATAAATTATAGATCTTTATGTTACATTAACCTATACATACTGTACTTACAGTTTTACAGTTACAGCATTATATTCACAGGTTTGTTTTTTCATCTACAATTACCTATCGTGCTGCTATGTTATGTATAATTATAAAATATTTATAATACTTTAAAACACATCGAAGCTATGCGTTTTTTATTTTAATAATTTCTCTGTCGTACCTATGGCAGCTATACGATATTGTCGTCCGATCCGGTCCGTCCCAAAATATATACTAGTGAGAGTATAAAGAAGTCTTTTTGCTTCATTCAGATAGCTTCAAAACTGAAAGACGGTTGGTTATTATATTTTTGTGTATTATTCCTAAAAGTTAATAATTTGTTTGATGAAAAAAATGTTTTGGTTGCAGATTCGGAATTCTGGGGAAATATAATTCAATATAACGGACAGGTATGGTTTTAAATTGTTTTACGATTATGCCTTTTTTGAACTTTTGTAACGGTGTTTGTTGATCGGGTAGATGCTACTATCAGTAGCTAACAACGAAGTATGCAGTTACGGCTTTTATAACATAATTAATGAGAACACTCTTAATTCATTCCTTCGCACCAATTCCATCTATTCTTGCATCAGCTGTAACACCAGATCAGAAGCGACTTCACGAGAACACCAATGGCGACATTTAAAACGACATATCCACCAGGAATAATTGCTCACTCAGGCAGCGCGGGTAAAACATATATTTAGGGTCAAGCCACGACAAGACAATGTGGGTGACCCAATAATTATTATAAAGTTAGATCGCGTACACAATAAGGTGCAACTTCTTAAGGCGTTGCTGAATATCGCAGAAGTTTAAAGAGCCAACAGCTTTATTCAATGAGCAGCTGCCGAAAGAGAGTTATGCACTGATTAAATAAGAGATGATGCGTAAAAATTACAAACATATACATTCTGTTTTTACGCGCAGAGATATTGGGTACATGAAAACGCATAAGCGAGGCGAGATATTCAGTGAATTGAAAATGCAGGCCCTTTTAAGGTTGCAGAAGTTGAGAGAGGTAGAAGCTGTCGATCAATCCGATGTTGCCTTTTGCAACTGTCAGTCGTAAAAGCCCTCGTTTTTATATATTTTTATTTTCTATGTTAATATATACTATTGTTACAACATTTTACAAGTATCTTTAGTAAATACAAAGCGAATAGTCAAGAGCAGTCAGTTACTCTTAGAATATAAATGCACAGAGTTTGACTAAGTAAGTTGACAAATTTAACTACTCTACTCTATTGTATGTTGATGGGGTTGCAATATTTGTTAAAAATAGTCTCCCTACAAACAGGAAAGTGTAAAATAATGCCTTTTTATAAAAACTTTGAGTAGAAGATCCGAAAAAGTTCGGATTGGGTGTGTATGCCGCACTACTAGATCTACTGTCTACAATAACAAAACTGCGTGCCTTTGTGCTCTCCATTTACCATGGAAGCGGTGCCCCAATCGGATTGCACTCACCTATAACTTAATAAATTTCGTATCTTTTTTTTTGTTCTTATTTTTATCCATTATTGCGTATGTGCTTACGTTGTTGAATGTCCTGTATATGTCTAAAAAGAATTCTTTATTGTGCAGGGCTTTTGCAACCCTTCGCTGACCCTTGGTCTATGGCAACGAAGAGTTCCACCGACATGTGTTTGCTCTTATGAAGGTTAAGCTCTTGCACCCTCAGACTCATGGGTACCGGGCTCAACTCCCGACGGCTTGACTATAATTGACAAGTCACTGTCCTCTTTCTTCATTGATTCGTACAGACTCATTTTCTGTGCGCTGTTAATGATGGTGTCCAGACCTAGGTCCCTTTCCACCCTGGCAGACTGACTACGCATCCTTGTCCTCGGGGCGCTTTTTGAGGCGGAGGTACAATCTTTACCGTATCTAGGATATATGATTTCCTCAAACTCTTTGTTGATCCGATGGACCCCTTCTTTAAGTAGTTGGCTCGGGATATGTAGTACTTTTTAGTCTTTCGTAGGAATGTCGGGGTTTTCCGCTGTGGGAAGAGTACTTTTGCCTTCCACCAACTCCAGCATAGCCCCCTAGCCCTTCTATGTGGCCGTCCGTGGCCACTTCCGAGTCGGGTCGCCATGAACTTCAAGATTTTGACCACTTTAAACCACTGCACCATCAAATGTGAATATGGGTGTCTTAGAGTCATTATCTCAACTCGAAGAGCCGAACGGACACTGTCTTTCGCTGCGCCTCGGTCAAAAAATAACATTAAAAAACACAATGGTGATGCGCCAAATGGGCCTGGTATAAAAGTACTACCCTTAATGAACTTTGTTTGTTAACTGCAACAGACTGATGCAGTTAATGTCAACATTGATGAACTTAATAGCAAATTTACTAATATCCAACTACCTGAAGCGACAGAAAATACGTATCCCAACTATTTTCCAATAAACCACTGTTATACAAACTTTATCTTTGCATGTGTAAGTGGTTTGACTTTCTCAAATCTATACTTTAAATTAAGTCAAAGGCTATGGGTTTAGGTAATATCTGCCAAAAGTTCATTAAGATACTTCTACCGGAAGTTAAAACAGCCATCACTCATATTATAAATACAGTTGTCACTACATCTATTTTTCCACTGGCTCGGAAGGAAGCAAAAATTATTCCTATTTCCAAATCGTGCTTGATTAACCGACCTATATCCATTTTCCCTGTCCTGTCAACGGTTTTTGAATAACTTATGAGCGATCAAATATAATTTTA